ATCCTTTGATAAAGATATTTCAAGACGCCGTCTTCAAAGTCCCGCCGTCGGACCTTCCTCCGACCGAGGTATGTGTCATGAGATCGACCTGTTTCCAGGAGCCGAATGCTACGTAACACGCTATTGATCCCTGTCCAAGGATTAGTGTCACGTCATTGACGCCCTCTATCGTGCAAAGCACAACGCAAGAATGGTGTGTGAGAGCAAGAATCCCCATTCGACACCCACGTTTTATGTCCAGAAGCCGAACGGCAAGTGACGTATCGTTCACGCTTACAATAAGCTCAATGCTACCACTATTCCGGCGCAGACGCCGATTCCTAGGAAGGATGTTCTCCAGAACAACATGTTTGGATGTTCAAAGTTCAGTGTACTCGACTTGGTCGATGGGTATTACCAATCGCTCTTGAGATCGATTGATATTCCGCTGACAGCGGTGAACACTACGAGTGAAATGCTCTGAGAGTGGTTGGTGATGCCCTAAGGGCTGTCAAATGTGCCAGCAACATTTAATTGTCTTTTGACGCAGTTGGTCGGCTACCGGGCGTATGCACAGACAAATTTCGACGACATCTTCGTCCACAGTCCTGCGGTGCATGAGAGGACGGATGAAGAGAACCTCATTGTGCATTTGAGAGCGGCGCCGAGTGCATGCGCTCGAATAAGCTGTATGCTAATCCAGACAAGTGCATCTTCGGCGCCGAAAAAAATCCTTTCTAGGGTACTTCATTGGGAAGCGTGGCCTGCGGATCCCGCTAAGATGAATACCACTGTGGACTGGCCGGTTCCAAAGAACCAAAAAGACTTACGCAAGTGGCTTGGCCTCGCCAACTATTTGCATAGGTACAGCAAGAATTATGCGGAAATGACAGGGATGCGGAATGGCGTTTGAACACCGAGTATCGGAAGGCTTTTGACAGGGTCAAATAGCCTCCTTCATGCCCCAATACTAGCGCTGCCAGACTTCAATCGTCTTTTTCGTGTCGTCTGTGACGCTTCGGACTTTGCCATCGACTGTGCACTGCTGCAAGCAGACGCTGAGGGGTGAGATCAGGTGATCACGCTCGAGTCTCGCCAGCTCAAGGCTGCGGAGAGGCGCTACAGAGTCCACGAGAGGGAATTACTTGCAATGAAGTATAAACTTATCAAGTTCGGGGTGCACCTGCTCGGCTCCAAGCCATTTGTGCTCTACACAGATCAGCGTCACTACGCACTGATACTCAGTCGCTATACCTCTTGCAGAGGATGGCCAGGTGGCTGTATCTGCGGGTGATGATATGTGTGTAGCGCTGCTACGGGCTTTCGTGAGCAAGTAGTTTGGAATTTCGGGCAAGAATTCGTCGTCGCAACGTTGCATCGATATTCGTTGAAGAACGGGTTGCTGTGTTACAGTACCAATTTGACGGATGTGCCACGAATTGTGGTTCTTCACGATGAGAATTTGAAGTATCGTATCCGCTTTGAGACCCACGACATCCCACTCAATGAACATCTCGTTCATGGAAGATTTATGGCTCTGTGAGTTGCCACTACTGGTGGCCCGACATGTTCAAATGAACGAGCACATAAGACGTGCCAATGGGTGAAAACCTCTCCGAATGCGGTGGCACTACTGGCCAATTTGCCGGGACCCTCCGGGTGTTGGCAGTCCATGAGATGGAATTTGTGGTTGGCCTAGGACTCGGCGGGCAACTCGGAAGTTTTGGTCGACAATCTTAAGGGTGCTGGGGACCAAGTAGACTATGTCAACAGCGGACCATCCGCAGCACGATGGTCAAACTGAGCATTTGAACCGCGTCGCTGAAGACGTCCTTCACAGCGTCTACACTAAGACCCTGGCGTCATGCTGCCACTTGTAGAATTTTCATTGTTAATGCAGTGCATGCGTCTACTGGCTACACGCCGCTCTACGTCATCGGACTCGTTTATCCTAGCGTCCCACTGACGCCGCTATCCCGTGGCTCAGGGCTTATTGGGGGAGAAATAGCTCATGCCAGCCCCCTCACTGTTTGTAAGAAATCGATGACTTCCTATCTACCAGATTGTGTGTCTTACGAAATGGGCGCGACGCGATGGCTCAAAGCCAAGTCGTGCAAAAAGAATATGCAGACGGAAGAAGCAAAAAAAGTGTTGAGAACATCAAGGTTGAAGACCTGGTTTTATTAAATGCTAAAAATATTTCTGCACATGCACTTTCTGCTGTCTAAAAGACAAAGCTCCGACCACGTTTTATTGGATATTTAAAGGTCATGGCCAAGCGGGCCTAGAGTATACACCAATCTTCCGAAAAGGATAGTCACACATCCCAAGTTTTGATTGGGCCTGCTTTAGACGGTTTGGAATCCGGCGCAAGTGGAAGCCGATGCGTTGGCACCGGGGCGGCGCCCACGGGAGCTCGACCACCCAGAAACTGGACCAGCAACTGATTTTGAGCACGAGATGCAGCAATTTTTATCGCCAATGGCGCCAGGTGCTCCACCGTCGCTCGAAGTGACGCATTCGTCTGCTCGACGGCTAGAAGCCGCTCCGACAGAGCTTGACAGTCCTCAACGTGAGGCAGTTGGTGCACAAAATACTCCACGCTCTTGACGTCTTTCGCTCAGCGGTATGCGACCCCAGTATGATGCTCAGCAAAGTCCCGATGACGACGGACCTTGTCTCCAAAACCTCGATAAGAATCGCGAGTCACCAGACGGCGATCAACCAAGTCGTCATCGTCCGCCGCTGATTCTTTTCAAAAAAAGGTGGAATCCACTATCATATGGAACATTTTGTGGTTCGATGGCGTCGACAGGGTCAAACCTAATATCTTGTGAAGTGGCGGGGATACCCACACATCATGGACGCTTATGATCAAAGGGATCATGACATTTCACATCGTCGTACAACCGCGCTTCCTGGCAATAGTCAGGGAAGCCGAAGTGCCATGAGCTGAGCTCAAGCAATGGCCCTGAGCTGCTGTGGTCGCAGACTAACCGTGTGAGAGACCACAGAGCTCGCGGGAGCGTGGAGGGTTAATTCATACGTCGCAGAACGATGATACGAAGGAAGTCGGCGTTGCGCCTTGAGTTTGGCAAATTCGAACCGAAGATGGCATTTCACGCGCACGTCCACCTCCTTGTTGCTCCGCGGTAGGTTGGACAGCGTTTTCGGTGCCGCTGCACCCATCGCTCAAAGAACTCATCATCATCTGCAGCGTTTTTGCTAGGGGCGAGCACCAAAGGAATTGTCCGCATCGAGGGTACAGGAGCGCCTCCTCTTTGAGCACGAGGTCGAGCGCGGTACATATCCATTGTGATTCCATGAGGTACCAAGAAGCGAGCTCGGTTAGCTTTTTGTTGGTCAGGCACAGGTTGTGTAGTGGCCGGGGTAGACGCCCAACGATCATTTGGTTGCGTCCTTCGCTTCAGTAGCGGGGTCCGCCGACTTGATTACGTATTCCTTACGAGGGTCTAGGACCAGCCGTGGATGCGCGCGTACAGCCGCCCTGTGGGCAGCCTCCAGCTGCTGCTCCTGTGCCTCGTCGAGGCGATTAATAATGATACCACTTTCCCCGGAAGTCAAGGATCGGCAAACGATCACGGTGTATAAGCAAGGTTCGAGTAGGCTCATATCGCGCCTCTAGCACACCTCGCCCTCTTCTTCTTCCCATCTTAGGACAGGGGCATCCGATTTGTAGTTGACTTTCTCTGAAATCTCGACGAGGTAATTCGTTGCCCGGGCCTGGCACGGTGTGTGGTGCCTGATTGCCGAGGGGTTGGGATGCGCTTCCCTTGAAGCCGCAGACGTCTGTCCGAAGTTGCACAGCGGGCAGAAGGCGAAGAAAGGCTCTACCCGCAGGCGCTCTCAGAACCAGCGAAAGATGAACGACTTAGTACCTTATGGTAAATTTGCAACTTAATCAAAATGAGTTATGGTTTATGGCTACAGGCAGCACTTCCCAATGGCCTTATAAATATTACTGGTGAGACCTTGGGCTCCTGATTAGGGTATACTGAAGTTAAACCTCAAATCAAATGATACAAAATCTTGGGAGCTTGAACCTCGAAAGCTTGAACTGCTTACGTCACCCACCTCGAAAGACAGAGACACGTCGGTCTCGTCACCAGTACAGATCCCCAAGTAGATACTAGCATTCTGTATCACACAGACTGATTGTGACTTTTTAAAAAAAGCACGTATGCATTTCAGAACACCAGATTGTAAACTTTTCCACGATGGATACAGAAGGTACCTTCATGTAATGGCTAAGTGTGGCCCATTACATCAGCAGAAGACCGTCACTTCGAATAGCAATCACGGCAGGATCCTTCGACTTCAGCCAGCCGCTGTTCTTCATCGCCAGGAACAGTTGCAGGTACATTCTTTAGGAGTTGGTCATCTAAGTTCTTCGTTTTGATCACATCTATCGAGTATCCCACCGACTGACCCGCCGGGGAACGCGCTTCCCATTATACTGACAATCGCACGAAAGGATTTTACCATCTTCCCACGAGGCGGCGGATTCCGCAATGATGAGAGATTTTCTGGCGTACTTGCGCGAAAAAGAAGGCGTGTGAAATAGATCTTCAATCAATGATGAGACTCCACGTCGCTCTGGTTCTCGAGGCCGGCGTAACGTTTTATTGCTTTTATCAGAATGGTTTGGATGTTGTCGCGCATGCGGTCCTAAACCTCAAATGACGTGGGTTCTCTGTAAGGTGGGCGTCGTCGAATTAACGCCGAGAGAAAGTTCCAAGAATGTTCTTGGTGGTAATTTACGGAAAGTAAAAAAAACTACCGTAATGTTTCTACTGCCTCTTACGTGCGCTGTCATGCCCGTAGTTCTACCTTCATGCTTGCAGCAACCAACTCTTCATCAACTGAGGTTCAAAGAAACCGCAGTGATTAATGATGCAGTGTATGGAGATATTGAAGCCTCAAAAATGTAAAATTCCCAACACAACGATTTAACTTGTGATTTGAACGGTGACAATGATCAACATATTAAGATCGAGAAATTAACTCGTTTGTTGTACATGTTCCTCAAAGACAGGTCGAGCTGCCTTGATGTTCAAATGAATTGTCGCCGGTTCTTTTGCATACAAGCATTAACATTGTCAAGAATGAGCAAATGGTGCAGCATCGTCAAGTGAACTTACGGATCGATTCATCTGACATGATAATCATGATGTACGTGTTGGCAGTGAAGAAATCGATAAATGCTGTAAAGTTGGAGTTGCGCACCTCCATACCTTGAAATTGCGCTTGAGTTTTGCTGCAGCTCAATTTAAATTGCTTTATAATGTTGCTTATCTTTTCAAAACGATGAATATCACGGTGGTTTGTGTGTGTGGCATGCGAGATGACAAGAAAAGTCGCACGCTCAAACAACACGACTTCGTCAGCACTGCATATGGAGCAAAAGCTGTTTAAATGTTTCTCAAGATCTTGCATGTTCGGGATCAATGAGTATACGATAGATGACCATGCACGGTACAGTGTTTCATCCCAAATAGAGGTGCCGAAACAGACTGTCGGCAGTTGACCTGTGCGCTCCAAGATCATTTCCTTTTTTTGATTGAACACCTATACATATTGACAGAAAATCAGCACAGAGAAATAACATTTCAATCAACAATTGGTCAGTACATACACGCTCACGCTGGTTCTCCGGCACAAGATCCATCTTGTGAATAAGCACAAATACTTTTGCATTACTCGAGTTTTGATCTATTGCTTCTAAGCAGCCGTCAAAATGCGCCATGTCTTTCTAAGATCGCCAACAATCCATACCACATTCAGGTCAAATGCTTATGTGTGCAATTAGCACATTCATTAACCTTACATCAATTTCACGACTTTCAATATCAAACACATAAATCAGTAGCTCCACGCTTCGAAAAATGTGGTCTCGTTGGCTCTCAAAATAATTTTCATAGAAGGCATCCTGTCTACAGAAAGCCACCACCAGAATAATTTATCGAGTCCCGCGATCAAAGGTAACGTACAATACATTTCTGCCTTACCCGCCGCAATCCCATAAATTCAAGACTAAATTGCCTAAAAATCGCACATGCGAGTGCTCCACGTCCACTGAATACCAGCAACAGCCAACTTTTTGTCATTTTCTCGAAACAAAGCTATAATCTACGCTCTATACGCACATGTGGGGCCCAGTCGCATCGTGTCACGAGCTGATCGAATAACACATATTAGAAGGGATACATTCGAAAAATATTTGGTACGGCAGCATTCAAAAACGCAAAGTCTGTGATACCCAAATAGTTCGCGAAAATGATGGAGCGCATGGACGTCTTGCCTGATCCGGACTTGCCCATTAAAAGAACCTTAATACACACCACGTATGGTCAGTAGCCGATAGAGACGCAGTCTCGACACGCACTTTTTTCTTCATGGCTGCGTCGGGATAATGTAGTAATTCTGTAAGACTTTACGTCACAAACTACGAATTTTTAAAAAATCTCACACCGTTACTTTTTGCTTATAACTCAAAAGAACTAGATATTTTCTTTAACATATGCGCCAATTCTAGGGAAGTTATTCAAAGATTTCAAACAAAAGTTCGCTATTGTACATTGGTGTCAATGCTTGGAAATCTTTGGCCTCGTCATTGGATATAGACGCAGTATTTTGTCAGAGTGAATGATTCACACAACAGCAATGGTAGACATTTTCCTCAATTAGATTATTGTTTTATAATAATCGACTCGACCATCGCTCTCGATTGAAGTGATTCTCTAGACATTGCGGCAATAGATAAACTTAAACTTATGAGTATAGATAGAGCACTCGAGCAAAATGTCTTCGGCTTCGCATTGATATCATGGCTCTCTGACAGTTCTCGTAAGTGGAGTCACAACAAATTATTGTACAAAAAAAAGTAGCAGAAGCTCAAATGCTTGCTGCGACGAAAGTATGCGCCAGACCGTTGATTACATGCAATTATGAAACTTGTTACATCGACACATCGACACACAATGCTTGGACCGTCACCAAATTCGTCGGACGATACATCAATTTATCAAAATTTTAGCTTCATCAGGATTAGCAGTCTTATCAGACGTGGACTTCTACTGATGTACGCTTCGATATCGATCGAATATAAGAGTCAATCTTATCAGTGAAAAGTTTCGGCTATGTTTTGGACGGACAACCTCAATCGCAATGTCATTTTAAACCATGTGTGCATCTTACGCCCAGTGCAATGCAGCATAATACAGTCACATTGTGATTGAGGCTGACAAGCTGTCGATCCGATAAGTAGACAAAATTCTACTAACAAATGACGTAAGTGTTGTTTTAGACAGTCTTCCAGCAACAAGGTGTAAACGATTCTTGCATGCTCATTTTGAAAACAAAATGTACTCCTTACTTGTACATCTACGCCTTATAAACGCGAGATTCTACTCGGAAGCGCACATCAACAAGTCCAGTAATACCTGCAGTAATAACCTACAGGCAAAAATATCATGAAGTCAAAGCAGGAAGTGATCCAATAGGTCAACTCTAGAAACGTACGCTCCCGGCTGATACTGGTCCAACTCCTTCCGGGGTGCCAGTAATGAGCAGGTCCCCTTCTTCCAGCATCATAATGCGGCTCACGTAAGAAATTAAAAATGGGATGCTGTGTATCATATCACCAGTGTTGCCTTTTTGTCGCAACTCATCGTCCACCATGAGCCAGATGTTAAGATCCTGAGGCGACGGCACAGCCGATTTTGGAATAAAATTGCTGATCGGCGTGAAGGTGTCGAAACCCTTGGCATGCGTCCACGGTAGTCCTGCTTTTTTTGCCTTGGCCTGTAAATCACGTGCCGTCATGTCGACTGCCAAGGCCTGGCAACAGTCGTTTCAATGAAATTTAGGTACCACTTAGGGCAAATTTACCCATTACAAATCTGAGCATACATAGCCGGCGACGTGATCCATACTAGAATTCTCAGTGATATCCTTTCCACCCTTGCCGATGATCACCTGACATAGAGATTCAGGCTCCTCAGCATGTCAACAACCGAACAGATTTAAGATCTTAAAAGTACACGCACGCCAAGTTCGACTTCATGGTGCACTTCGCCAATTCCTGGAGGAAGCAACACACTGCTACCATTGCATACGTAGCTACTCGACCGTCAAACAACTTTTCTATTTCGGAATATATATTCTTCATTGTCTATTAATTACCTTGTCGTAGGTTTAAGAAAGAGCACAGGGTCTTTTGGAGCGGACGCAGCGCCCATTTCGCGTACGTGAGCCTCATAGTTTTTCCCGATTGCAACAATTTTCTTGCTGTTATTGATTCAACATGCGTTAAATGTTTCATATCACAGCAATCATCTCTGTCTTTGACGCACCCAAACTCGACAAACTGCTTAGCTTTGATCATATTTAAAAGAGCAGAATGTCACTCCTTGTCACTAAGTAACGCAAAGTGTTCGTGAAGTATATTTATAAAAAGTCAGGGAACTCTGCATTGAAGACGGTAAATAAACATTCTACACTGCAGCCTAATTCATATCACCGCAACATAAGCAGCTTTTCAATACAGAATGATACTCAGCTTTAGTACGCTTAATGAGCTCACGTTGTCATCTTGAGTATCATGATAGATTTCAAAGACTATCTCACAGGTTTGTAAGCTCAACGAATATAGTCTCAAATAAGGGCTGACGTGAATGTGATTCCACCTTGCCAGAATAGCAGCAGACCCTCTTTCGAAAAGTGACGATTACTATCTTTGTAGTGGAAAAGCGTTCACAGTGAACTCAACCTCTGCAGTGAAGCTGCCGTAGCTCTTTGCTTACAAGAAGCTAAGCTAACATCATCGACCTTACGTTCCATACTAGAACCAGTAGGAGTGTAGCGGATCGCAATCCGCTAACTATAAGAGTACCCAAACTTTAACACGAGGCAAATACACTATTTCATTCAAAATCCAAACTGTATTTGTTTTGTTTTATTCGCGGCAGAGCCGCCTATATCTAAATCTATAGTTTTTCCTTATTGTATAGTAAAGCCGGATTACTTTGCATAACTAGTGACAGTCCCGCCACGTCGTGGCTTCTGTTAAGGTGTAGCCACACCATTGTGTGGTCGCACCATTTTGCGTGACCCAATTTCTATACTAGGGTACTTTAAACCCGTTACACTCACCCCCATTAAAACTGTGAGTACCCACAATTCATATTTATCTGTCGACTCGTGCGAGGCTCGCGTGTTTAAGACGCCTTTAGGTTCCCAGGACCTTCTTCACGCATTCTTTTCTCGATGATCCCTGTATCTATGACACGCAAAACACCCAGCCTTGCTGGTTTCGATAGCGCCCACGGGTCTTCGTCTTCTGCACGCGGTGCAATTCCGGCCAGAACGTCCGCGGCTTCACGGGAAGCACATCCCAAGCCCTCGGCAACCGGGTGCCACACCCCGCGCTCGCCATGGGCGACGAAATTTCTCGTCGAGGAATCGGAGAAAGTCGACTATAAGTGCGACGTGAGCCCTGCACGAACGTTGCGGACACCGAGTCCGGTTCCCGACCTCTCGACTTCTGGGTGAAGAGATGTCATTACTAATCGCCTTGACGAGGCACAGGAGCAGCAGTTTGAGGGCGGCTCTCATGCGCTCGAATTCACAGTCAGTCCTAGGCCATCGTGTGAAAGTTCGGCGGGTCCCGCTACTGAAGCGAAAGACGCGCTCACTCGATCGTTTGGCGCATACGTAGTCGGGTCCCCGGCCACTACACAAGCTGAACTTGAGCGATGAAAAGCTCTTCGAGCTTGCTTCTTGGTACCTCAAGAAATCCCAATGGATCGGTACCGCACTCGACTTCGAGCTCAGATAGGAGGCGCTCCTGCAACCACAATATGGACTATTCCTGTCTGGCAAACACGCTGCAGATGACGTAGAGCTCTTTTAGCGATGAGTGCAGCGGCACCGGGAACTTTCCTCACTGTCTAAATTACAGCGGGGCCACAAGTAAGTGGACGTGCGCATGGAACGTCATCTTCGACTCGAGTTTGCCAAACTCAAGGCTCATCGCCGACTTTCTTCGTATTGTCGCCATGAGACGTATGGGATAATCCATCACGCAACCCGCGAGGACTGTGGTCTCTCACACGGGTGAGTCTACGACCACAGCAGCTCAGAGCTATAGCTTGAGCTCAACTCTTGGCCTTTCGGTTTCCCCGGCTAATGCCGATATGCGGGGGGTACAACGACGCGGAACGTCATGATTCCTTTGACCATAAGCGTCTAAAATGTGGCACCTCAAACTCCCACTAGATCTCGGAGTTTGGGTATCCTCACGACTTCCCAAGATACTAGGTTTTGCCCTGTCAACGTGACGTTGACCCACAAGGCGTTTCACTTGATAGTGGGCGCCATCGTTCTCGTAGAAAAGAGACGGCTGCAGGCGATGACGACTTGGCCGATCGCCGCACGGTGGCTCGCGGTGCTCTATGAGCTCCTGAGGACAAAGTTCGTCGCTATTGGATCTCCACTGAACATCATGCTGAGGTCGCATACCGCTTCGCGGAAGGCCTCGAGAGCCTGGAGCACTTTGTGCACCGACTACCTAATATTACGCTCTGTCGGAGCGGCTCCTAACCGTCAAGCAGACGAATGCGTCACTTCGTGCGACGGTGGAACGCCTGGCGCCGTTGAAAACGAGATCGTTGCACGCCGTGCCCAAAACCAGCTGCTGATACAGCTTTTGGGTAACCGAGCACCTTTAAGCGCCGGATCCCGGTACGGCTTAAGCAAGCCCACATAAAACTTCGGGTGAGTGCGCATCCTTATCGGAAGGTTTGGTATACACAAGGCCTCGCTTGGTCACGACATTAAAAGGTCCAATGAACGGTGGACAGAGCATTGTCTTAAGGACAGTATAAACGGCACGTGTAGGAAGTTTTTTTTTAATTTTATTAAACCAGATCTCCAACCTCAATGTTTTCAACATTCCTTTTGCTTTTTCCGTCTGCATATTCTTTCTGCAGGCCTTAGCTTTCAGCCATCGCATCGCGAACGTGTCAGAAGACACTCAGTCTAGTAAACAGGAAAGTTATTGACTTCTTTATTGAAAGTGAGGGGGCTGACATCAGCTAGCCGTTGGGCTTTTCCTCCTAACCAAGCCCTGAGCCATGGGATAGCGGCGTCGGCGAGACGCGAGGATTAACAAGCTCATTCCCGTAGAACAGCGCGTAGTCGACAATGCATTGCTCAGAGCGCACTGCACAAGTGGTAGCATGGTGTTTCAGCGCTGAAGTCTCAGGGCAGACGCTGCGGAGAACGTCTTCAATGGCGCAATTCAAGTGACTGTCGGTCTGCGGATGGTCCGCTGTTGACGTAGTCAACTTGGTGCCCAGCACCCTGAAAATTGTCGACCGAAAATTCCCAGTGAAGCGTGGCTACCGGTCAGAGGCTATTGACTTCGGGATTCCATGTTGTCAAAAGACACGATCGACAAACAGCGTCGCTGTACCGACACTGTAGATGATATCCGGTACCGCCGCAAATGAGCCATCTTGCTCAAACGGTCGAAGACCACGAGACCCGTTGCTCGCCGAGTTTTTCGGCAGTCCAAACACAAAGTCCAAACTCATGGACTCCCAACACCCGGAGGGTACCGTCAAGTGGCTAGCGGTGCTTCCGCATTCGGAGAGGGATTCGCTTATTGACACGTCTCACACGTGCGCACAGCGGTGCTCATTCGTTTGTACAGCTTGGGTCACCAGTAGTGGCAACTCACAGAGCTGTAGGTCTTTTCACGACCGAGATAGCCACTGAGTGGGGTGTCGTGGTTCTCAAAGAGGATACGATAATTCTAATTTTCATCATGAGGAACCCCAATTCGTGGCGTATCTATCGAATCTGTGATAATACAGCAACCCGTTACTCAACGAATATCGGTGCAACCGTGCGCGTTAACGCGCCGACAATTTCTTGGTTGAATTTTCAAGCACCTTGTTCCAGAGAGCTTGTAGCAGCGCTACGCACATACTATCAACCGCGTATGCGGCGCGGATTAAATCCGTCGCTGGCGACGCCACGGTCGTGACATGAGCAAGCTCATAGTCCGGTCTGTGTGACGCATCAGCCAGAGCATTCTGGTTCCCTGACTTATAATTCACCTCAAAGTAATATCTTACAAAGTTGGAGAGCGACCTGGCCCTGCTCAGCGAGAGATGAGGCGACTGAGTCGCAATGCGTTGTGACGCAAGATCTGTGTAGATCACAAACGGCATTGAGCCAAGCAGGTGCACCCTGAACTTGACAAGTGCGTACTTCCTCGCAACTACTTCCTTGTTGTAGACTAGGTTGTTCTTCTCTGCAGCCTTGAGCTGGCGAGACTCGATCGCGATCATTCTATCTCGCCTCTCGGTGTCTGCTTGCAGCAGTGCACAGCTAATGACAAAGTCCACACCATCACAGACGATACTAAAAGGACGATCGGGATCTGGCAATGCGAGTATTGGTGCGTGAAGGAGAATGTCTTTGACCCCATCAAGAGCCTCCCGATGCTCACCATTCCGCACCCTTCTTGAGGAGATTCGATAATGTGCGTGCCATTTCCGCATAACTCGCGCTATACTTGTGCAAATATTTGGCGAGGCCAAGCCACTTGCGCAAGTTCTTTTTGTTCTTTGGAACCGGCCGGTCCACAATGGCCTTGACCTTAGCGGGTTCCGCTCAGAGTCCACGCTTCCCAATGAAACCCCTAAAAAGGGATTTCTTCCGCACCGAAGATGCACTGATCGGCATTAGCAAACAGATTTTCGTGCGCATGCACTCGAGCACCGCTGTTAGATGGACGATGGCGTTTTCCTCATCTGTCCTCATGAGCCCCGCACGACTGTGGACGACGATGTCGTCTAAGTATGTCTGTGCATACGCTCGGTGGGATCTGAATAACTGTGACCAAAGACGATTTAATGTTGCTGTTGCATTTGACAGCCGTCGGGGCATCACCAGCCATTCCCAGAGCATGCCGCTCGGGGGTGTACTCACCGCTGTCAGCAGAATATTACTCGCTCTCATGAGCAATTGGCAATACCCATCGACCATGTCAAGTGTGCTGTACTTTGTACAGCCAACGATATTGTTCTGGAGAACATCCTTTCTCGATATCGGCGTTTGTACCGGAATGGTGGTAGTGTAAGCGTGAACGATATGCCACTTGGCGTTAGATTTCCGGGAACAAAACATGGGTGCCGAATAGGGAGACTTATTCTCATGCATCATTCCTGTGTCGTGCTTCGCATGAAAAAGACGTCAATGACGTCACATTGCTCCTTGGGCTGGGGTCACTGGCATGCTACGCAATATTTGGCTCTTAAAACCAGGTCGATCTCATGAATCACACCTCTCGGTCCGGAGGTAGGACGACGGCAG